CCTCCTCGGGCCACTTACACCCGCCCCTCAGACGGCGTGGCCAGCCTTCCTCTCTGCAAGCAGCCAGCGTTTCAGGCCCTTCCATCTTACGGCTCTGCGTGGGGTGAGGCCGACCGGTGTGAACAGAGCACGAGAGCGGTAGGCGAGGGCCAGCTATTTAGGCAGGGACCTCGCTATGTGCTAGAAAGTGTATTAAATAATCCCAGGACATCCCTACAGCCACTACTGGCAACTTGTGGCCAGACAGTGGGGAGAGGCAGGCAGCCCCAGTGGTGAGAGGCAGCCAGCCCCTGGCAGGGCTAGACATGCAGCAGGGTGTGTGTTTTTCAGCAAGTAATGTATTTACTGGGGAAAAACGTAATTTAGGGTGACCCGAACCATCTGCAAATTCATTTATTTCCGTTCAGTTGACAAAAACTGAAGAAATGGCTCAACTGCCGCGTGGGTTTCGGCCCAGCTCCGCATTTTTTGTGTGTTTTTCAGCAAGTAATGTATTTACTGGGGAAAAACGTAATTTAGGGTGACCCGAACCATCTGCAAATTCATTTATTTCCGTTCAGTTGACAAAAACTGAAGAAATGGCTCAACTGCCGCGTGGGTTTCGGCCCAGCTCCGCATTTTTGCGACTTTTTGACTCCCTGAAAAGTTTGACCCAAAACTGAAACATTTTTCAATTATTCCGACTTGCCAGCAAACCCAAACCGCCAATGCTCACCCAGCTGTCGTTAAGGTGGGGTGAGTGTGTGGGGGATACAGGGGGACTAGGGTTGCAACGTTCTGCCCTAGAGCTACCGGCCCTGAGTTTGTTACACTAAACGTGCTGCATTAGCCTTCGTGCCACAAGTCCTCCCGTCACTACGGCAGCCCTTGCTCGTGGACAAGTCCCAGGGGTGCCAATAGCGCTAGTATGGCACGCTCCTTAGACTTGGATGTTTTTTCAATTATTCCGATTTGCCAGCAACCCCAACCCGCCAATGCTCACCCAGCTGTCGTTAAGGTGGGGTGAGTGTGTGGGGGATACAGGGGGACTAGGGTTGCAACGTTCTGCCCTAGAGCTACCGGCCCTGAGTTTGTTACACTAAACGTGCTGCATTAGCCTTCGTGCCACAAGTCCTCCCGTCACTACGGCAGCCCTTGCTCGTGGACAAGTCCCAGGGGTGCCAATAGCGCTAGTATGGCACGCTCCTTAGACTTGGATGATCCGGAACCGCCGTGTTGTGAGGAGACACTAGTTTTGTTGGGGGGAGGGGAGGACACAGGAAGTGACAGCGCGAAAGAGAACTGAGATGATTTGTTGCTTGGTGTAAGGCTGGGCTGGGCTAAAATGGCTGCTGGCCAGCCGTCTGGGTGTGGGATGGCGACTTCCCACATACT